GTTTAGGTGATAAGTGCAGACATGAAACAAGAGGAAAATAGCCATGTAAATATAATACCAAAATTAGTGAAGTGTTATAAAAGTAGACAAATTTACATTCCTAGTATCTGTGCAATAGAATGAGAATTAACCTTTTGTTTGAAAAGATCTACTTTCAAGGACATGAGCATCTGAAGTATAGTTATGAAAACTTCATTTTGACTCAGGTGTTCCCCACTGTGAATTGTGTTTTCTCTCACAGTAAAACTGCTATAAGAGCAAATGCAGAAAAATACAGGACCACTATACTGTCTGATTTTTAAAAATCTTTTTTAGAGATTGTTTCAAGATAATTTAGTGGGGTTCCGAGAAATTTGTTTTACAGTTTGATTTGTGCCTATCAAATCTTGTTGCAGTGAAAAAACTGGATGTTGGGCTTAAATGGTTTCATGCGTACATTTCTCACACTTGCCACTACATGTAAAATTTGTAGGCAGGTTATTAAAAAGATGACAAACAATTGCTAGTGCCCATAATGTGGAGACCAAAAGAGATCCTATAATAGTGAGTAAAAGATATCCATTCTTTACTAAAAGTGGGATGCTATGTATGCACTGGATTGTTGTGACAGAGGTCCTTAGAAAGCTTCTTTCACTCCCTTTGAGAAGCTGTAGCAAACCTACTCCTTTGTTTTCTACTAGTAACTGCTACATTCTCTGGAACTAGATATTCCTATTCTTCCTTCCCCAAGTTGGCAGTTCTAGTATCATCCCCTGAGTGAAAGAGTGAGAGAGCGAGCACAGAGGAGGATAAACTATTGAGTTGTGCCCTCTATTAAAACTGAGGGTCCCCCCCCCCGAAAAAAAGCTAGATAGATAGATAGTAGGGCTATGAGAAGCTTCGGGTGCTGATTTAATTAAGAGGAGATTCTGAATCGATTAAGGAGACCAGTTAAAAGATCTGAATCAATTCAAACTTCTCCAAATTGATTCAGAAAAAAATTCAGAGATTTGGGCAGTCTCTGCTCGCTGCTGCAAGGAGCTGGACCCAGGCTCCATGCTGGTAAGTAGAGGAAGGGGGGAGAGGACCATGGGGGGACCCCCACCAGGCCCCATCCCCTGCCTGCTCCCCAGCCCTCCTGAGCACCCTGCTACACCCACCAACTCTCCCAGCTCCCCCCCCCACATGGCTTCCCCACCCCCCCCC